TGGTTAGTATATATATATATATATATATATATATATATATATATATATATATATATATGGAACGTATTTTACGACATTTTATTGTGAGATAAGAGAAGATTAAAATATAACTCTTAAAAGATTAATTTAACAATTAGATTAAAACTAAGATTAATTTAACAATTAGATTAAAACTAATTTTGCGAAGGCTCCACACGTGTCTCAGCCCCTCGCCATAGAGGACGAGACAAATTCCGGCTCCAAGGTACTCGTTTCTGAGTCTGCATCTATGCAGGGGACTTTCCTGAGTCTAGCAAGTAGCATAGACCCACTCACATCGCCTCAACGGTATGCCACAAATCTCATTTTCATTTTCAGTAACGAGCGCAAGTGCTTTAATCGATTGTTTAGCTTCTCAAACTTCCGCATCATGCAGAGGCGTCTCTATCCGGCGTGGAGCCGCTGATGCAGAAAATCCAGAACGAGATTTGGACCGTCGATGCTGGAATTCTTGCCGCAGTTCACCAATAGGTGTTAAAATCTCTTCATTTGACATCGCCTGATTTGAATTTGTTCCGTGGTTTTCGCTCTCTCATACTCACATTGAACCGGTCACGGAACTGTCAATTGAGTTGTTTAGGACAACTACAATAATAAGTTAATTTTAATCTTATTTGATAAATTAATCATCTTTCACAATAAAATGTCCTCTCACTTTATAGGATATATATATATATATACTTTTTTATGTTGGATATATGATCTTTCCCTTTCTAATACAGGTTGATATAAGGTCCCACCATCAACCCAAGCAAGCAGCAGTGCATCTTCTCACTTTAAGACCCATTTTCACGAACATAAAACATGGGCAAGAGCCAACAATGTGTTAAGCCCAGCCCATTATCCACAAGACTGTTGGTGAACTTACGTGGAGCTTAATTGAACTTAAACAAAAGCACCTATAGCCTCTATTGGCAGTGTGCATGAAACTGTTAATTACATGGAAGCACTGAAAATTAAAATAAAAAATAAAAATGGAAGCACTGAAACAAATATTGAAGCAAACCCACTAAAACACCACAGCAATCCTATCTCTTCCTTTCCTCTTAACGCAAGAACCCGTAACTTCCATAAACGGACACATGCACCCTGAATTTTCATATCCATCAACCAAAACCCTAGTCATATTTCAATAAAATTCATTTTTTTTTGTCAGCAAAATTTTTTCATGTACGTACTCAAGGTAATGTAAGCACTTACAGTATGATTTGTTGCATCCCCTATATGTTTTGATGATAAAGACGGCTGTTAAATTAAAATCTTTGCTTTGTAGAATATTCTTTTTAAAAGGTAAAGATAATATATCAAAACTTTAAGTGGAAGGCATATATTTTAAATTATATATATAAACATTAAGAAAATTTAACATATTCAAGAAGACTTGAACAGATCGACTAAGAGCATCTACAATGGGAGTTGCTTATAAGCAAC